TAGGCCGACTCTGTAAACCGCTTAGAGAGGGCTGAAAGCCCTATGAAGCGGTATATAAGTCTAACTGCTATTAACTGCTATTAGTTTCCACCCATTGCTTCTTGTTCTACTCTCAGGTGTCTTGGAGAATAGTTTGACTCCCTCTTCTTTGTGGCAACCCCTGAGATATTGGAACACTGCTATCAAGTCTCCCCTAGTCCTTCTTTTCTAGACATACCCAGTTACTGCAACTGTTCTTCATATGTTATATATGTTATATAGGTGAGTATATGCATAATTTTGTATGCATTTATTTTGTCATGTTTATGTAGTGCATATTGGTGATGGTGACCCTTTGAGACCTGTATGCAAAAAAAAAATAATTTCATGCAATTTTACTATCATGACCTCAAACTTAATCTATATGACTTATCCCTAAGTATATGTAGATAATATGAAAAAAATGACCCGTTTCCTGTGGATCAGATAGCTTTGGCAGCCATCCCAGTTCATTTAGAAGTTCACTTCTTTGAGATAAAGCTTTTTAAAGTCAGCTGTGTATTATTGAAATTCAATTTATTCCATCTTACTTTTTATTATAGACAGGGGGCAAGTGCTATGTTGTAAAGGATTTAATAAGTTTGTAATAATGAATGATTAGTTGATAACTTTGCTATCTCATGTGATAAGGTAGGTTATCTCGTTGCATATGGAAGAAATGCTTAGTCTTGGTTAGCAAGATCTAAAATACAGAATAACTCTAAGTGACAGTAGATGGGTTTCTGTGTTAAGTTAGAGCCAAAGACAAATAAATCACTATGGTTGAGTGAACGGTATTAACCAATTCTCAAGTAAAATTAGGACTGGCCCCTGAATAACACTGATCCATAATTTATGTAAACCATACTTTGTAAGCCCACATAAAATTACGTCTCACCATATGGTTAGGAGTCAAGTAATAAATATATATTGAGGGAATCTGGATTGGAAGAAGATGAGTGTGGTTTTAAAACTGGAGAAAGAAACATCAATCACCTACACTATGCTGATGGCTTTACTTGCATAGCTGAAAAGGCAATTGTAATTAAAGCCAAGAAACACAAGGAAAAAATGGGACTAAATATTAAGATGACCAAATTAATGATAACAGATACAACAACCAGGCTCAGAACTGACAATGAAATTGTTTATGCTACCTGATTCCATATCAACTCTGGATAGCTAACAGCTTAAAACAAAACAAAAATTATACAATAAAAAGAAAGAAAAAATTCTAGTCAGCAATAACAGATCATAGAGGGGTTTCACTGGAGAGGGTCCAATGATGATCTCTTAAGGAGGAGTGACAATTACATCCTCTCCCACACTGAAACATTCACCACCTTCTGGACCCAACTATCAATCACACCTGGGGGAACGTGGTCAGTCAGGCAGGACAGGGATCTACAACAAAGGAGAATATATTCATAGCAACCAGGATCCTGTCCATTTCTTCATGGCTGAATGCATGTTTGAATTCTTCCCAGATAATTGGGCCACATAAGCTTCAAGCAACTTCAAACTTCAACTGTACAGCTGATTCCAACTCCAAAATGAATGTGAGTTTACCCAACAGATGACTACATAATGATCCCCATAGAGGCCCTACATACATTTCCACAGCCTCTCCTTACCAAATGATTGGGCACACTGAAATGGCCACCCCTGGCTCTCTCTGGACACAAAAAGAACTGAGAAATAGAAAAAACATTGCCCTTACTTTTTTTTCATGTTTACCCATAAAGTCCATAAAACCCTTCCAGTCATCAATAAATATACATGTTTTTTTCTCTAATCAAAGAAGCCAATTCATCCATTTGTCAACTTTACCACCATTCCCCCATACGGGGTAGTCTCAAATCTTTATATCTGTGGGCCTAAGTAATCTCACCGCAGTAATCATATATTGAACATCATTATCATAGCCATTTGTCTGAAATGCTATAGGGTTTCCTGCCTGGGCAGGGGGTTGCACTAGAAGACCTCCAAAGTCCCTTCCAACTCTGCTGTTGAATTGTATCATCATCAACTGCCCCTTGTGCATGCCTATGGTATTTAGTCTCCCTGATACTAATCATAAATGAGGAATATGAAAGAAGCATGAATAATAAAAATAATCACAGTCGGTAAAACTGTTCCCACAGCAGAGTTCACAAAGTGGTTATCTAACAAAACTAGTTATAAAAATGTTTGCACAAAAATATTTATGTGCTGATTTCCAATAATAATTAGGACAAAAAGATCTTTCAGGCAAATGAATTTTTTAATAAACATGTTTTTCAAGGAAACATTGATCAATGTTCTTCTAAATGAAAATGCTGTTTATCAAAATTACAATGTATTGTGTAACTCAATTCATATATAAAAAATCAGTACCTGCTGTTAACAATTTTTTCCAGGTTGAGATAATATAACACTCCCTGTAATTTGGGATTTAAACAAACTTGCTTTCCATAATTACTATTCTCTTTTAAAAAAGGTCAGCTAGCAAAAAGTAAAATAAGTGTAAATTAAAACCTTTAAAAAAAACATTTTTAGGAACAGATCCATACTACTGAGGTGAGACTGCAAAGGAAAGGACAAATTCTCTCTATAAAAAAAATGGACAATAGTTACATGGAAGCTAATAAAATTTTACACATAAGGTAAGAGCTGGAGTTAATTGCTCAAGTTACCCTTGAAATTTAAACAATTTTATTAAAAAAACTAGGTCAGGCCTGCATTATTTCATATTATAGTAATGGAATAAGATGGCTGAATATTCCTTTGTGCAGACAAAATCCTTCCTCATAGAAAATTAAAGCTGCTACGGAAAGAGCAAGGAATTATTTTTTTCTGACATTCTTATAGGCAGAGAATGTTTTATACAGCCCAGGCACAAGTTTACCATAGAGAATTTCAGATCAAATATTTTTTCTAATATGACTTTTTACATAGTAAGAATGAAAGATTGTGGATGTGGAAAATAGTCTGAACTATCATAACAAAATTGTAAACCACAATTGGAGATACAAAGTTTCATAATACTCACTTAAACATCGGAATATATTTTTGTTACTTTTTAAAATTAAATTTGAAATGTACAACTATGGAAATAGGAGTTTAAAAAAAATCCTAGAAATCAAGTACGCTCTTGATAAAATGTAGTAGGTTAAAGCTTGACTGGATCATTTTAATTAGTGAGATTTAATTGTTTCGTTTGCTTGAGGAATGATGGTTTGTTTCAGGCACTTATTAACCCATATACGTGTTTCACAAATGCCTATGAAAGTCTTCTATCTTTTAGTAAGTTTCATGGAAGCCAAAGGCTGGATGTTAAGAAATAAGTGATTTTCACAACTGTTGTAAAAAACCACTACAAACAGCTATAGCTAAGTTGATAGCCTTTGCACCCTAGATGATTACAGTCATTCATACAACTAGATCTTTTTTGCTTTTTTTTTGTCAATAACTAACATGCCCTTTTAGCTGTAGTTTGAATGAAGATTCTAACTTGCTCCTCCTTTTTATACTATATGCTCATCAATGTTGAGATTGTAGCCCTTACTATGAAAAATGTCTACAAATTGCTCACAATACACGAATCAACTCTAAACTTATTCTGGACCGTGGAAGATCAATTTCACGCACTCGGACTTCAACTTTTTCTCCCGGACCAAGACCAAGACTTCTTCTTTTCTTCGCTTTTGAAAGTTTGTCTTCTGTTATGCTACGAATTGGAATTAATCCTGCTTTACCAACTCCAATGTCAACAAAAACTCCAAAGAGAGTAGCATTTTCAACTCTTCCTGTGAGAATAGTTCCAACTCTTAAATCTTCAGGACAAACAATGCTTTTTTTGAAATCAGGTTGATCAAAATCTGTATGAAAGAAAAAACCAAAGTAAAAATGATTTTAAAATGATTTTAAAATAAAACTTTGGAAAGAGAACTTTCTAAATTCTAGTTTAGGCAATCTATAGATGACCTCAGTTTTATTTCTGAGATCCACAATTTCCATTATAGATTTTTTTGGATTCCCACAAATGAAAAGCACTCTGAACTGATGGTTAAAATACTTTGTCTGATGAAACATAATCATTAATGTCTAATATACGGTAGCTGGGTATTCTGAGGGGTGATTTTATTTCATGCTAGATGGCATTAAGACTATGAGAATATAACAGATTTAACAGATTAACAGAGTGGTACATCAGATTGGCATTGTGTCAATACAGTGACCAAGTGTATTTTTATGTGAAGTATGAGTCTGCCCATTATGGTCATAAGTTGCAACAGCCGAAAAAGCCTTGCTTAATGACCAGACTCCCTGCTTTCCTTGATGCAGCCATTAAATGAACTTGTTAAATGAAGTACAGAGGGCCTCCAGGCAAGAGAGCAATCCACTGCATAATTAAAAATTCTGCTGTATAATCCTATATTGCTACCATCTATTACCTATTATTTCTTTTCACTGGTGCTGGCAGCTCAAAAATAATGTCATCTAACCATCTTTTCCAATATAAACGGATGATGTTTTTTATTTATGTCACACGCCTATGGCCGGTTCTGAAAGAGTTGTAAGTCATGGTCAATTGAACCATATTATCTGTTAGTAATGATCTGAAATTTATTGGGATTAATTTCACCTTATAAAGGGGACGGCAGGCAACTTAATACAGTGTTTCTCAACCTTGTCAACTTGAAGTCCTGTGGACTTCAAGTTGACAAGGTTGAAAAACACTGACTTAATAAATAAAACCCACAATAGGCTTGACATAATACTTTTCCACACCCAGATTAATTTAACCCCAGCCCTTTTGGGAGGCATTAAAGACTTGCTTTTCCACTCAGGTACTGGGTCTGAGAGGGATATGAATGGGTAGCCAAGGGCTTTTACAGATTTCTCCAAGGTGTTTTTGTGTGCATTGATGGCTGTGGAGAAGAAATGAAATACAGTTATAATTGCACAGTTAGACTAATTGCCTATCCTGCATTATCCAGATATATTAGACTATAATTCTCACCATATTCAAACCAACACTGTCAATTGTTATATTAGGCTGGCGAAATATGGGGGTGGGGTGTTGTTGTTGTAATGTGATACATCTAGAAGTCACCAGGGTTGGTGGACTGGCTCATAAATTAGCATGACAAATACAAACTAGAGTGAAACTAAGATATATATCCTCTGACTTCTCTGCTTCTGAGTTCAAAAACTTTTGCTTCCACGATTCATTAACAATGTCATTTGAACTACAGGTTAATATGAAACAAAGATTGTTTAAACAAGTCAGTTTTATAACCTACAGATTGATGTTTGCTGGTTTCAAACAACAGTTAAATAGTATAGCAATGGCTTCTAAAAAATGAAAGAAAAACTTCCATACTTCTTGCTAGAAAAACAGTGCATTGAAATATGAGCTTTACTCCTCTTGTGGCCTCCCCCCATTCTGAAAGGGTGCCTGCTTTATTTTCTACCACTGTTTTTTTAAAAATACACTTAGTTAGCCAGCACCTATTCAATCCCAGAATTGTTTTTATTTTAATTGTTGAGTTCCTACAGTCTGATGCAATCTACTTGTGTATGACTTCCTAAGGCAACTGTTACTGCCATAATCTATGTTGCAGTTGAGTGCAATACTGCAAAAACCTGTTCCGAGAATACAGCTGCTCCTAATTTCAGTGCAATTTAATTAAAGATATGGTCCAGTTCACTGCATCCTATTGTCAATATTAATCTGATCCTGAAAGCTCTTTGAGTCTATTAAAAGCAGTCAACACTTCACTAGGGATGTTTAAGGAATTTGGATATGAAGTGACCCGAAAGAATGTCTGAGAACCACTGGCTTCCACACTTACTAAACATTTCAGTAGTTAAATGATAGTGTAACAAAATATGTTTTAAGATCCATATTTAGAAAGAAAATATATTTAATATATGATAAGTTCATGTTTTAGATGAGGTAATTTAGAAATATATATTTAAATGTCATTTCCTTAAATGGAAAATTGTTAAAAAAATACCTTAAGCCCCCAATTATTGCATAAAAAGAAGAAAATAAGCTTATGGGGTAATAAATTGTAATATGAGCTGCAAATGAATGGATTTAACTAATACCAGTTGGATAATTGCAATTCATAGTACAGGAGGTTGCCTTTGAAAACAGTATGGATGAATTTCAATGAATTCAAAGTAGAGCATCAGGATTGCTCTCTGGGGCTGGTTGATTGAACAGATTATGCCTGTTCTTCCCCATCTATGTTGGTTGCCAGTCTGTCTCCAGATGCAATTCAAAGGAACGATAGTGGCATAGTGGTTAGAATGCAGGCTAACTCTGCCCACAGCCAGGAGTTCAATCCTGACTGATTCAAGGTTGACTCAGTGTTCCATCCTTCCAAAGTCAGTAAAATAGACACCCAGGCTGTTGGGGGCAATTTGCTGACATTTGTAAATCGCTCAGAGAGTGTTGCAAACCACTATGGACTGTTATAAACATCTAACTGCTATTGCTAAAGTTTTGGCTTCGACTTTTAAAACCTTAAACAGCTTAGAGCCAGGTTACCTGAAGTAATATCTTTTCCATATGTAGCCACTGGGGTTTTAAGCTTATCTAATGATGTCCTTCATTAAAAGTCTTTTCACTAAAGTAAGTGAGTTAAGGAGGACAACTTTTTCTGTGCCATCCCATTTATGGAATTCCCTCCCTAACCTATGCTATATTAAATATATTTCCATAGAGAAGCTCAGGAGGATCATTTTGATGACAAATGAAGACATTTCCTATTTTCCCAAGCTTTTGACATGGCTTTTAATTCATATTGTTTTAGTTTCCAAATGATTAGTTTTGCTGCTGTCTACTTTATATGGTGTTGGTATTTTGTATTTTTAGTCGATTGATCATACATGTTTTTACTCAGAGCATATTTTTAATGTGTTTTATTGTAAAGTTTCCAGAGAACTTTAGCCATTGAATATACTTTCAAAAAATAATATAAATATTTAAAAAATCAATAATGTATGCTGCATCAACTTTATGTTGGACAGGGAAGCTATAGGATTCCAATAAATAAACACTGCATATCTTAGCAACCTGTTTGTAAAACCCATATAAATCACTTCCAACCAGGCTCAGTGCATTTTCTGAAATACATTCTCCATTCTTTTTACTGTTTTACCATTGTAAAAGTCTTTGAGACTTTAGAAAAATTTAGTATAATGCCAGTTTAAACAAATAAACATGGTTTGCAACAAATATCTAAGCCTAAAATATGTCCTCTGGTTTATCTACGCTTCAGGATCCCCACAAAACACAATGCTAGATTCATTTTCCCCCCACACTACTAAGGCAGGAATAATTAAAAAGATTTATAACTCATTTTCAAAGTCAGGTGGAACAGTACAGCAAACTACTAGTCAGGGATCATGAACTTAACCAGGACAATACTTCTATGGTTTTGAAGTATCATAATTTAGAATAGGGATGAAATTTCTTAAAGATAAAACTATTTTTTGTTACCTACAACACAAAGCAGTCCAATACTTTTCTGCTCCCAGACAGCTTAAAGAACATGTACCTATCCAACTGAAATGTCACTAAAATGATAAACAAAAACTGACATATCAAAGGCAAAAGAACAATATCATCAAACCTCTTACCTTTCCGAATGTCAAAACTTTCTGGCTGAGTCAACCCATCAATTATTATTTGTAGAGTTTGTTCCGTTGTATTCAATTTTTTAGTAATTCCATCCATCCCTTCTCTTTCAATTATTGAATTCACTTTCTGCTGCATGTTTGACTTTCCTATATTGCACTGACTTTCTCCAACAAGTGTTAAAAACCTTATGTATAAAATAGAAACATAGTACATGGAAGAAAAGTTTAAATAGGCAGCATAAATAGATAGCACAAATAATATTTTTTCCCTCTCTATCTCCATCCTCATCTCATCCTTTAGATAATAAAAGATTTTAGCTGGAATAACTTTTGATACACATACGTACATACATACATACATGCTACAAATACAATACTATAAAATCAACCTACCTAAAAATGGAGAGGGAATATGATGAGAGGAGAACAGGGTGGAATCTGTTGTTGATCGAGCCATACACCCCCCCCCCCCAACAACATGAAGCCCCTCCATTGGTGTCCCAAGACAAATGCCAGAGCCAGGTCCCTTACAGAAGGTTAGAAGGTTGGAGCTAAGCTCACGTTGTGTGTGTGTGTGTGTGTGTGTGTGTGTGTGTGTGTGTGTGTGTGTGTGTGAGATATTCCAGAACAGTGATGGCTAACCTTTTCTGGGCCGAGTCGCCAAAGTGTAGATGTGGGTGTATGTGTGTGAATGCGTGTGTCTGCCGGAACCCCCAAAATGCAATTTGCCCCCCATGCATGTGTCCCACCCCATGTATGTGAACGCCCCCACACATGCCTTGCCCCAACAGATACACATGTAATCTCTGCGCATGTGTGTGTGAACCTCTTGCCTGTGCCCCCCCCAAGCATATGCACCTGCCTCCCCTGCCCCCTCCTGCATAGCAGAGACCCAAAGGCTGGTCCATGAGAGGTGCATGTGCATGCGTGTCAGAACTGAACTGGGGCGATTTTAGTCTCTCAGAACTCAGAGAGGGCGCTGCATGCACCTCTGGCACGTGTGCCATAGGTTCGCCATCACGGTTCTAGAGGGATCTCGCAATGACAGAGAAGGCTCTTCTCCTGGACCTCCCCTCAGTTGGAATATGGGGCCTGCAGCATGCCTCCTCTGCCAGCATGGGTGGGATGGGCTAATAAATCCTATAGATTCAATGGGTTTCATTCCAAGCCATGGCTAGAATCTTTAGTCCCCCTCAGTTATAAAATTAGGCAATAGTCTTCTCTCATTAATAAGACCATGCTAACTTAGCCTCTGCAACTGTCCTACACTGCAGAGCATAAGAGCAATGGAGGCAGAAGAGAGCTAAAGCTGTTACTACTGTATTGCTTCAGCCTTACTGAGGGGCATGTTAAGAGTCCATGTGACTCTGTAGCCAAGGATTCCACTCCACATACATCTAAAGGCCTCACTGTCAGTGAGGAAGAAGGAATAATAGGTTGCTTCTCCTGCTCCTATTTTTTATTATTACATTTCTATGCTACCCATCTCATTGTTACAAACTACCCTTATATTTTTACTTTTATGGCTCCAACTTTGGTGTATTCCCTTGCGTTTGTCTTTGGCAAATGTTAAGCAACTTTCCCAATTCAAAATGAATTATTTGGGAAAAGCTTAGGGGATACCTTTGTGCGTGGATTTTGCCATGCAAAGAGTGACGAGCAACTATTCCCCTCTCAAAATCACATTGTGACCTTGTGAACAATTACTTGGCACCAGGAACAAATGCCTGCAGCAGTGGCTGTGGCTGTTTGCATTTGAGTTGAAACTCTGTACTATTCTGCAAGATGGTTTTTCTACTTCAGCCTGAACACATCCAGTGAAAGGAATTCAACATCGCCTCTGTGGGTAGGTGATTCCACTGCTGAAAGACTATTGCTATTGGAAATTGATTCAGATCTGCCTTCATTTAACTGAAATCCATTAATCTGTGTCTTGTACATTGGGATAGCAGCAAGAATAGCAACAATAAGAACAAAAAAAGCCTGGTACACATCGTATACAACATGACACCTCTTCATTAATTGAAGATTGCTGTTATCTCTTCCAGTTATCATTTCTCAAGGCATTTGATTCCATTTTTCAAAATGAAAAACACATTTATCCACTACTTTTTTCTATCTCTAACCTAGCAAAATCACTCTGAAATTTATGCTAAAAATGGAGATGAGCACTGCCCCCTAGATTCAGACAAGAAACAGGGGAAACCTTTACTTTATTAAGTTAATGGAAAATTATATTTGATTTAACACCTCTTTCTTTGTTATGTGTTGATATCTCTTCATGGCAAAATTCCAATTTATTGCAGGGAAAAGTGCCCTGGGTGTTTCTAACCAATTTGCCCATCTAAGGAGGAGAATGAAAATCTGTGGAAAAATCCAACAGCCAACCTCAGAATTTACAGTCAATCTTATAAATTCATACTCATACAATTCCATTTCATTGTATACTTTTAGAGCTACATCTGATTTAGAGATATAGGATATGATATGATATAGTCAGTTCCGAATCAACTGTGTTCTTATTGAAAGCTTTTCCTTCCTTCCTTCCTTCCTTCCTTCCTTCCTTCCTTCCTTCCTTCCTTCCTTCCTTCCTTCCTTCCTTCCTTCCCATTTTCACCCAAATAAACAGCCTTGACGGGTGCTTGGAAGAGAAATCAATATTAAAGACAAAACTCCATCTTAGCAGTAATGCATATTGATCTCCTCTATTTTTAAATGTCATTGCTAAGAACAAAGCAAAGCCTTTTGGGTATGGAAAAACATCCACAATTATACCAAGGTCACAGAAAGTGGAATAACAGCATAGTATCATTATGCTATGCTATGCTATACGGAAGGAAGAATAATGCTATAAGCAACTATTTCTCTCTGTCTTCATTTATTTTTTGTTGGGTGGAACAACTGATACACTGGGATCGACAAAAGAGCACTAATGGAGAACTTTCAGCTTGCAGTATTTTAAAAGCAAATGATAGGAATTGTAATAAATATCTATCTCTTTTTTTAGAACACATTTTTATTTGTAGGTGATTGCTAATAATAAATTACATTTAATAATTTATTTTCAAACTATTTGACAAAAAATGCACACATGCACAAAATTAAGACATACTATGCAAAGAAATATTTAAAGTTTATGAAAGTATATGTTAAATGCCAAAATACAAATTAAAAGATCAGTGTTAGAAGTTAAATAGTAAAACATTTTTATTGCACTCTCAAGAAATATTCTAATTTTATTAATACGGATGATCTCATATGAAAATGCAATAATGGAGAAAATACCTGGTATCTCTCTCACCTTCCCATTTTGGCTGACATTCATAATTAAGTATATTGAAAAATTCACTGATGCATGTTGGAGGTTTTAAATACTCAGGCTACAGTTCTATTTTCTATTATGTAGACGTAAGCCCTATTGAATCAAACAGAGCTAACTTTTCAATAGGTAGATACAGAAGTTAATTCTTAGGAATGTAACACTAGACACATAACACTGCTAGTGTTTATTTTAAGTAAGTTATTAAAGGACTCCAACTTTGAAAACTTTACTTGAGAGTGTCAATATTCTCATGCAAATGTCAGCATTCATCATATTTTAGACAGTCACTGTAATCTGTACGTTAATATTTATTTTCATAATTCATGATATTACCCACATTCTAAGTGAATTTGCTGAAGCTTCAATAATAAAAGAAAATGCCAGTTCATGTTACAATTTTTAAAGATCATGAATATGCTTGAACATCAATTGGGATGAATAAAAATTGCTTTTTCCAGAAGTTTGAATAGCATAGGTTAAAGATCTGCCAACTAATGACCATGTTTGATACAGCAAATAGGCTAATTGTTCTGGTAGACTAGGGATCTGAATGTAGCTAATAATCGAGTTCCAAATATTTAAATAAATACTGACTGCTAAGATAATAGTGTAAGACATACTTTGGAAATTTCTTTGGTTTAAACACTATCTAAAACTATGCAAAAGGTACAACCAATCTATTCCAAAGAATAACTTACTAGCTACAATTAAAATAAGAAAAATGCAAATTTATTCACCTATCCCATACTATATGAGTGCATTTCTGTTTGCTCTGTAGATAAAATATTGAATGCAAGCCTTCTTACTTTTCCTCTTTCATGTCCTTAAGCCGCTCAGAAAAGAATTTCTTGAGTACTAGAGTGACTCTGTAGGAGGCTTGGGAACTAGTTTTCGGATTGCAGTGAAAGAAGAGCAAATCTGATATAGGTAAAGGTGCTTTTCTGTCCAAGGATGAGCTATATCTGCCTCTAACTGTACCTAGCTTTTAGCTCTTGTAGGAGGCAAGGTAGACAGAGGGAAATAGGAAACCTTGCTTTTGCTGGATGAATCGACTGGATGTTGCCTATTATCACAATAAAAGGGGCTGAAATAGGTTACATCTTATTTAAATGTACTGATACCAAACAAATGTTACTATCACTAGTTAGTCACGAAATGGAGAAAGATTCCCTTATTTTAACAATATATTTAAGTGTAAAAAATGTATCTATGGCTACTTTGCTGAAACTCCAGAAAGCCGATATTAACTGATACCTTGCAGGTGCTTCCTGCAAGGATTTTTTTTAAAAAATGTAATCCTTGCAATCAGCCCAATTTTGTTGCTATTACTACAATTTTTATTAGGCAGTTAATATGCATACTGCTTTAGCCTTAAGAAATAAAGTAAGATAGGCTGAATCCAAAGATGTTTACAGTTTGTGATTCAAGAAAAGAAGGACGGCAGAATAAAAGTACGGAAATAGTCATAAGCAGGCAAAGAACATATATCATCACAGAATATTCACAAGAGGACCCAGAGTTATGCAGACTATTCTAGAATATGAAATTGAGAATAGGCTTTGGCACTACTCTTTAGGATAGCTTTTTACAGTCTGATGCTCTCCACGCAGACATGGGAAAAGATTGGGAGAGGAACCCTGATTTAAGTCACTGTCGTGAAAGGGTTTGTGGAGGTTTTTTTTAATTAAACAAAATTTTAAATACTATTTATTCCACAAGATTTCAATTTAACTTAAAATTGTATTACATTTGTGTTGAAGTCAAAGGATAACGGGATCCTCTACAGTACTCAGTTAAGCACAATTAATTGTTGCAACCATTATTATGTCAGATTGAATCTTTATGAACTGAAATTAACTAGAATTTGAGGGGGGAGAGCACAATCTAATAATTAGGCACATGTTGTTTGCCAGATGCCATAAGTTCTAGTTGGTTATTTCTCCTACTTACTTGAGACATGTCAGAAACATAGTGGGTGTTGACAAGAAGATGCTTTGAGGATTATGCCGCATACAAAAAACTGTTAAAGTCTCCCCTCCCACCCTTTCTGGCAGAGTTAAAATGACATATCTATGACAGTGTGTATGGAAAAAGTTGCAACAACTGATCCCTGAAGGACATATGTTATGTAATTCTAAACATGCCTGCTTAGAAGGCAAGATGACATCTGGCATTAAGTGAGTATTTGCATCTAATAATTGATCATGAATATGATCAAAATAAGCATAGGAAAGGGAATTTAACCATAAATCCCCTGCTGTAATCCTGATGAAAATATTTCTGCTTCTATTTCTAGTTCTAAAATCATTAAGAGGAAATTGATATCAGTCAAAAATTCCCGTTTCACTCAAATATCTTTACTTCTGTGTAAACATGCTAAGGATTATGGTCCTGCACAAAGGACTAATCCATAAAAGCCAATTGTTCTGCTTTTACTCTTCAGGTTTTATCTTTCTCTCTCTGCAATCAGCATAAAGTATAAAGTTATTTATTCTCATCAAGCATTTTTTTGATGTTTAAATAAATATTTTATTCATAGATAGTTATATTTCAACTAATTTAATCATCTTAATTTTGGAAAAACCAATTTTGCTTCCAAACCGACAGTGATTCAGCTATCAGAAGACAAAAAAGCTTGCTAAGTGGATGCAAATAATAATTACACCAGCAAATAAACTGGACTGGCCTATAAGAAAAACCAAGTGAAAAAGAGAATGGTGGCGTGGGAAGACAAAGCATTACATGGCCAATACATTAAACAAGTAGCAGGGAAAGCAGATAATAATAGGACCTGACAATGGTTAGGAGCAGAAAATTTGAAGAAAGAGATCAAGGGGCTAATTCTGGCTACACAAGTCCATTTGATAAGAACAAATGCATACAAAGTCAGAACTGGGAAGACAACAACAGACAGTAAGAGTTGTCTATGCAAAGAAACTGAAGTACCAGTGGACCACCTGGTTAGCTGCTGCAAGATTACTCAGACTGACTACAAGCAATGGCACGACAAAATTGCAACAATGGTGCATTGGAAAATCTGCAAGAAACATCATTTGCTGCAAGCAAGAAATGGTGGAAGCATAAAAGAAAGAAAATAATAAAAAATGAAGAAGCTAAAGTGCTGTGGAACTTTAGAATTCAAACAGACAAGCATCTGTCACATTATACCACAAACTTAACAAATGTTGATAAGAAAGACAAGAGGTGTGTGGATAGTGTGCATGGCATTACCTGGAGACAAAAGAGTCGAAGAGAAAGAACTGGAGAAGATAACAAAATACAAAGACCTGCAAACAGAAATAGAATGACAATGGCTAAAGAGACCAAAGTAATACCACTAATAATAGGAACCTGGGTGCAATCCTAAAACAACTGGCGCATCATTTGAACACCATTGACAAAATCACCATTGCAAAACCAGCTTCACTTGAAATAGCTTATACTATATACATTCCTGACATAGGCACAGGTTATTTTTCAACAAATGCTAGTAGCAATTCTGGATTAAATTTCCTTCTCTTCCATTTAGATCAGGCATGTCATACCTGTGGCCCACAGGTCACATGTGATCCCAGACAGTTAGTAATGCAGCCTACACATTAATTATAATTACAAGTGTAATTGCACATATCCACATACACACACACGCACACACGTCTCACATAGAGTTGAGAACAAGCCTGCAGTATCTAGAACTCATTTAACCATTGTTATAAGATCAGCATTAGTATACTCAGAGCCCTGCTTCCAAGAGTTTTTTGTAATCTGGAAGAAATATTACTTCCCAGACTAAAAACTAAAAGAGCTAACTGCATATTCATTTTTTCACTGCTTACCTCATTGCAATAGCATATGATTCAGGGTGGATACATGTTTGATCCAAAGGATTTGGCTGCTGAATGACATTTGCTGCAGCTTTAGTTTTCTTTTTACACCGTTTCTCATTTGTGACTGCTTTATGACTCCCAGCTGCAAGCTCACTTTGTTGAATGAGATCCAAAATCATGAGAGAAAAGGATGTAGTTATCATTAAAGCAGTGAACATCCTATGTATCTTTTCTGTTTCTGCTCAATGGGCAAAACTGCAAAACCTCAAATTCTATATACAGATTATGCAAGCATTGTTAACAAATAGCATTATAATTATCAAATCCTCAAAAATTCTGCATATAGTGGATCTGAAATGCTCTAATTTAATTATCTGTATTTCTGTCAAGCTCCATTGAAATTGAGCAATTTAAAAAAAACACAGACTCAATATTTGAATCACAGAAAATAGTATAAACAGCTTCACTCATGAAGCACAATGCAATTGTAGAACACATGGCTTGTAGTTTGAGGGCACCAGATTCAATTTCTGGCAAATTTCTGAGAAAAATCTTGAAATGACATTGCTGGTCTATATAGCTAATGCTAAATTAATAGGCTATGGTTAGAATTGTTTTAAGACTGATTCATATGCTGCCTATAAAGAGTTCAGATATCAAACTGGGATCTGAAATCTCTTTTCTTTTTCCCTGCTTTTGTGTGGGTGAGTTTGTTGGCTTAAAACCTTAATATGTTAAATCAGTGGGTTTTTTTTATATTGTGCATAGTCATTGTATCTTATATCCCCCGTCCTATATGCCAAAGAAAACCTCACTCATAAACGTACTATTACACAGTGGTCTATGCATAGAACTGTTATCAACTTATATTTTTATTTAATTTTTATGGGTTTTCATTGAATTCCAAGACCAATCGTAGATCGGAAGATATGACTCCATATATTAAAAACATGTGTATCAATATGAGAGCCAGAATTCCTTGCACTATCTTACAATGTGTTTTTCCTCCTTTTGTGTAGACTATACCAACTGAGACTCAAATGTAGCTACAGCTTCCTAAGATATCTAAGGCTGGCAAGTTCAAAGTTATTAATACTGGGGTGGGGGGAGGGAGGGAGTATTTAAGATATCTCTATATCCAAAGTTGGGTCAACCTTCGGCTTCTGAAATGAGTGTTCAATCAAATTGCTATTATATTTCTGTTCTGCTTAAAATTTAATTGAACTGTCGTTTGGAATTTCTTGTCTTGGAAATGATGAGAACCTTTATTATGATATACAGTCTTTACTTGCCAGAGAATATTCATCATTGGGTCAAAGTCAAATTGGCATCATAAGACATTATATAATGCAAATATGTCTAGGGTAGTTATTACTATTGAGACCTGCAACATGTGGGTGGGATAATGTGAAAAAAGAAGAGAGGAAAGAAGAGGCTCTGCTTATTCTCCCTCTATACTCCCAATAAAAATGTCTATAATATTAGACCATCATCTCAAATTTAATTTGATTTATTACATTTGATAGTTTCTTTGTGAGTGGAAACAATATCTATAAAGTTAGATGGATCAATATCTTAACTTGTATGACACAAATCCTTCCAAGGTTATTCATAAGCAACATATACTATTTTATAAATCCAAAACAAATGATATCAACATATAAAAATTCAGCATATCTTCCCGTATGGCAGTTGATGAGGGTGGATGGGAGGTTAGAGTAGTGGAAGATTAGTGGGATCGGTGTCTCCATCTGAATGTTTATTTCATTATGTTAAGAGATAGTAATTAATATCTCTAAAGCTGAGTTATGAACTTCATAGCTGTGAATCTATGACTCTACTCCCTAAATCACATTGCCCTTCTATGACCCCTCTTATGCTATAATTGACTAATCAGCAGACTACAAATTACTCTTCATCCTAAATGCAGACTCTTAAGTCAAGGATTCTGACCTATTACCTACTGGAGTTTTTATTTTTTCAAATCTCTACTTACATGTGGCAAATAAGTAATCAACCTCACACCTTTTTATATTACCTGCAGAATGATCTGATGTATTCTTGATTGATCCTGATAAAGCCAGCACATTGTTGAAAGGATTTTGGGCCCAATCCTTTGACATCTTTAAGCTGTTCCCGACTGATAAATGGTCCATTTTTCTCTCGCCATTCAATGATATTTTTAGCCCTGTTGGCATTAAGTCCTGCAATATGTCTAACAAGCATAATAAAAGGAGATTTGGAATCACATTTCATAAAAGGAAGCAATAAGTACTATCAAAGCAACATAATACAGATACTGCTTGCTCTATGACAGGAGTGTCAAACTTGTGTCTTCCCGTTATCATTATGTGCTGTATTGTGACTTTTTCCCTTCACTAAAGCAGGGATGGGGAGGGCCAGCGTGTGAAGCATCCGGCCCATGGGTCACAAGTTTGACTTCACTGCTCTAGGAGGATTGGAAAAAAGCTTCATTGTAGTTGCTCTACTATAGAAGTGACAAATCCAGAGATCTCCACTCAAGCAATGGCTTCTTCAGTTAATAATACAGAATGGTGCAGTTTTACTAATACTAAAAGCATAAGCATGGGTTGGTTTCCTTATAAAGTTTCATACTTATGAAACTTTACCACACTTATGTTTAAGAAAAACACAGTGGAGGAGGAGGAAAAATACTTGAGAGATAGTAGCCAGTAGGGGAATCGAAAATAGAGGAGTTTCGCAGGTGAGGAGCACAATCACTTCCCAACTATAGAGACTAAGTTTCAGAGTTTGTTTAGTGACTATGTGAGGAAGCCTCATCCTGTAAAACTGAAACATACAACTATCTTATAGTGCCAAACTCAAAAAAACAAAACCAAGCCAGTAAAAATAACAACATGAACAAAGAAAACCAGCAGGAGGTAAAGGATTTCCTAATTAATGCATAGTATTAAACCCAGGACTATCTGCCTATTGGGCCTTAGATCATGGGCTTGTGACTGCTGCAGTAAGCCCTGTATCTTAGGAAACAAGGCAGTTCCCTTGAAACCAAAGTGGTTGAGCTACAAATGTTTAGAGAGTCAGATTGGTATGTAGAAGAGATCTTTTGGAATGGGATAACTTTTTTCTACTCCCAAGATAAAAGCGTACCTATCATTAGGGTAAAGAGAAGTACAGTATTGGGAAAAGAGAACACCTATGACATGAGATATTGCTATAGAAGAGTCTCCAATTCTTAGGGGATAGGTCTAATAGCAAAGATTTTAATCTGGGGCTGGAAGGCTTTTGGTTTAATATTTGATCATATAATATTCTAATGTGGAGTGAGATATAAGTGTTGTAGAACCTGTGCCTACAATGCTGTTACATTTTACATTTTTTAAAAATGGCAAACAGCAAACAAGTCATGTGAAGTCACATTTGAAAAATAGGGAAGTACTGAAAAATGCAGAGCACTGGTACAAAACAGAGTGCAAGTAAATGAGAGCCTAATCTCTTTATAATGCCTGGAAGTAATCTAAAGCCACAATGAGTGATGGCCAACTGGAATGTTCAGTATTCTACAATGCAAGAAAGGTGGAACCACAAAAAGACCAGCAAGGCTTTCTAGCAATTTCCAGGAAACTATAGAAGTTAAAGCTTCCTTCAAGACTTTCACAGAAAAAAAACAGTAATATGATAATAGTACAAAATAGTAATTGAGAACTATAAGGCAAAAACCCATTAAGAGAAACAAAAAAAACTTCTATCAATATATTCAAAGGAAAAAGCTGGCACCACAGCAATGTAACAAAAGTTTAAGAGACTGCAGAGAAACTCTGAATTATCTGCATTATCTGCATTATAAATTTGCACAGGAAAGTTATCTGAGCCTGAGTTAAATTTATCAGGAGGAATTCTAATAAAGAAAGCAAATTGTGGAAACTAGAGACATTATTCTAGGATAGTTTGAGAGACTGCACAGCAGCACCTCACCAGATCCTAATGACATCCACCCAAGAGCTCTCAAAGAATCTCAGAGGTGAAATTGTTTAATCCCTCAGAAAAAAAAGAACTAGGGGAATCGAAGGTAACTAACATGTCACCAATTTTAAATTGGGAGATTATAGACCGCTCAGTTTAATATCTATTCCAGGAAAATTGATAGAAATAGGAATAAAAGAAAAAACAACAACTAAGCAGTCAAAGAAACAAGATCTGAATCCCACAAAACTCCTGCCTCAATAAATTGTCCTGTTGACCACTTTGGAAATAGCTTCTTTCTGGCTTACTTGCATCATCTGAGCAAAATACACAGAACAGAGACCTTTTTAATGGCAGTTTCCCTCCCAAAGTATTGATGCCCCACTTCCTATATTACTAGCTTGTAAAGTGACAAAGATGGTCTTTTCCTGTCATGGGCCATGTCTCATCAGGCTATTATTTTTGAATATTTTTATTTTATATGTATTTTGAACTTATTATATATTTGGTTGGATTTCTTGGTCTGATAGCTATCCAGACTGTTGTGAATGAGGGGAGGATATAAACCCTGAAACAAAGAAATGCATTTTGTAAACTGCTAGGCTATTTCTGTTTTGCCTGTGCTGTTGGTGAAAGGGAGTGGGAAAACATTCAGATGTGCACATTCACTGCTAAGTAATAAAGAAAGGTTTGACGTTATCTGTGGATAGAGACGTAACTTTGGCTCTGCTCGTGGAAGGTGATTCCATTTACGGAACAAATGTTGCAGTCATAGGAATAAAAATAAAAGTACGGTCCAAGGCATTAGTCCAAAGATATAGAACCACTATATGAATTATTTGAGTTTTGAAACTATCTAAGTAAACTCACCTTAATAAAGTTTCTGAGCAGATGTTAATATCGACTCCTACAAAGCTGACACATTCCTCCACCACACTGTCCAGGGTTGCTTTGAGTAGTGTCTGAGATACATCATGCTGTAAATTGGGAGGTGGAGGAAAGAGAAATCCAATAACACTTGAGTAGTATTTGATTACTGTATGATGGAAACTATTCAGAAATGAGAATTCCAGAGAATGGCAGTATTAATAAAACATTTGTGGGTAGAATATTGACACATAAAAGAACCCAAGAGATGAACATCTGATATACTGCCACTGTTTGTATTGTGGAACTGGTTGAACTCATTTGAATTTATTTTTAAATTGCATATTGCCCCTCTAACCAGTTTGCAAGAACTTCAGATAGGCACCATATATGTGACATACAGCCTATCATGTTTCCATTAGAAACAGAGATTCAACAGGGCCAGACACATGCCTATTTTATGCAATTTTCTCTAAGAATGAAAAAGAGGAAATGAAGTGTTGGTTTTGCACATGCCAGTTTCCTCTAATGTCCATATTATGAGATCAATTTGCAGCAAAGTATTTAAGAGAGTATTCATATTACAAAATTTTACATTCTGTAGATGATAGCAAATAGATTTATACTAAAGCTTTATGGTAAGAATACACAATAGCTTCATAAAACATTAAAAAGAAAATGTGAGAAAACAAATTATCAGTGTTAGCAGCATATAAAAACTGAAATCTTGTAACAGTAATACCTGCTAGATATAAGGTGACAGGGGTTGGGGTTTAAAAATAATGTATAGATTACCAAAATAATTTGCCCACTTTAATCTGTTTTCCACTTCTGCACCATATATTATTAATAATAGTCTGTGTCTATTAATTTATTTCAAAAGCTTTAGAAGAGTAATCTGAATCAAATCTAACTGAAAGCTAAATAATTGGATGCTTTTAGATTATAAATGTATCTAAAGAAATGATTTTTTGGTTGTTTGATAATCTCAACTCATTATGAACCTAGCTTTCCTAAAACACACTTTAGAATTCCATGACATGAGTTCTGGGCACTTCCTTGGTAACTTTACCTTCATTCCCTTTTCTATATTTGTTGTTTTCAGATTCTTTCTACGCTTTTATATACCCAGATTTGTTTATTTAGCTCTCCTCCATTTTTCTCTCATTGGAACTGTTTCTAATTATGTCCCAAAGGTGCTTTTTCAGGAGGCAACTGGACTTTCTGATTTTTCTTTGAAGGTGTTTTGCTTCTCATCCTAGAAGCTCTGATTATATTTGTAATTATGTTTTTCATATTTTCTTCTTTAGTTACTCACACCAATCTTTTTCCAGTTAGTTTCTTCCGCCACTGAATCCTATTTATTAAAATCTGCTTTTTTAAAGTCCAAAGTATGCTTTTGACCATATTTAGCTTTTGCTCTTAATACCAATAACTCAATAGCCATCTTTTCCCCTTATCTCCTTTTCCTCAACTGCCTCTTCCCTGTTGGTTAGTATTAACTCAGATTCTCTTATGTATGTCATACTTCATTTTCTAAGGGCAAGAGTAATTAACTAGATAATATAGGGATTTCCTGACAGATTCATCCTTGGCAAAGTTTCTTTTGCAACATATGTCAGTGTAATTAAAATCTCCCATCACTATGACTTCATGCTTTTTGAAAAATCACACAAGTGGGCATAGCCAATTGGTAGAAGTATGTTTTGTCTTTCTATTCTAGGAATGCTATCATATTTTTTGGCACATAAGATGCACCATTTTCCCCTCAAAAAAGAGGCTGATAATCTGGGTGCATCTTATACACTGAATACAGCATTTTTTGTCTCCCGAAACCCTGCCCCTTCACTAAAATGGCCTGCATAGGCTTTAGGAGGCTTTCAGAGTGCTCCTGGGGGCTGGGGAGGGCAGAAATGAGCGGAAAATGAGCAATTTTTTGCTCAATATTGCCCCCCCCCCAGCCTCCAGGAGAACTCTATAAGCCTCCTAAAGGCTATGTATGCCCTTTATTTGACAAAAAAATGGGCCCATTTTCCCAAAAATAAACCGTTTTTGGGTGGTCTACAGAGTGCAAAAACTTTTTTAAAAAATTTGCCTCTTCAAAATCTTGCTGCGTCCTGTACACTGGTGCATCTTATACTCTGAAAAATACGGCACATGACTGTGTATCTAACTTCTTATCAGAGACTCATAAGAAATCCCTTCACCAAGTACTGAAGACATGCACATAATCTTGAAGAGTTTAACAGAACTCACACAAAAAGGCATTTTTAGGATATCATATTCTCTCTGAATTATGCATCTCTCCTTTACATCAATTGACTCATGGATCTAATATATATTATTTATCTCTGAGGTCCCTTTGTGTAATTTAATCTTGAAATGTACAGTAAAAACCTGCATATTACAGTTTCAAAATCTAAAATACAACAAATATAATAATAGTGTGAGAATATTCAAATTCTGACAACTTCTGGAGCTAGTAAGAAGTTATTTGGGATATTGACCTCGGGTCAACTGATAGATCATGATGACAAATTTTTATCATATTTTGTGTTAAGAGGCCATTATTATCTACCAAATATAACACAATGGCATTACAATTACATTTGCTAACAACATTGTTTGGAAAAGCAGCATTTTCAACTTCCGATATATCTGATATGACAACTATTTAAATCTTTTAAAGCTAAAAAAATAGATAATTATTTTGGGAGGAAATAATGGGCTATATAAATATAACTGTGAGACAAAAGCTACACTTTTCAGATGGCATTATTATATACCTAGTACTTTGAATCTGACAACCAGACAATGTAAATGGACTCTCAATGCCCTTACTATGACCAAAAGACTGATATTGCAGCATTGGAAAGATAAACATATGGGTCCTTTTACTCAATGGATTGAAGCTTGATTGCACTTGCCACCTATGATTGCACTTGCCACCTATGAGAGGAGTGCCCTTATATCTGCATGGGCAAATATAATGAAATATTGGGTGGCTTTATACAAAACACAGGTGATTTAAAAATGATAGATAAATCTATGAGTCATATACATGTATGAATAATAATGACTTTAGATGGCTATGTTTAATTGTAGCTATTAACTGTTATGATATATTTTACTTTTTGTTTTATTTATTAATTAAATTTATATGCCACCCATCTCACTGTCATGCAAGTCTTGTACTTCACTTTTTTTTAAAAATGTACAATATTTGAATGCACTTTTAATGGTTTCTTTCTTTGATCATTGTATTTTTAAATGCATTTTGTTCTTTTTTGTTTTCATCATGATTTTAAAAACAATAAAAGAATACATAAAGTTAGAACTATTTTTATTCCTCTCATTTGGCAGGCAGCAAAGGAAGGGAGCTCTGCATAGACCACCTTAGCTTTTCTATCAGAATGGAAAAGGATTTTTATTGGCCATAAATGTGCCTAACAAAATATCTTGAATCAACTTTCTATTTACCTTCTGAAACAGAAATGAAGGTATTTGACAATAAATTCCCCTGAGTTTATACCACACAGCTGGTACTTGACTTGATAGAAGCAATTTTCCTGTACATCTTAAGAAAGAAGGTGTGTATTATTATGATATAAAAAGGAACTGGAAGCTGAATATATTCAAAGAATATGAAATTAGTTTGGAAGGACAAAACTGACTACTTCCCACAAAATAGAATTGTTATAAATCAGTTGCAGTTTCTTAAACACATCAACCCTCTATAATACCACAGTGAGATAGAGACCTATTGTCCACAAAACATGAACATTTTTTATATGCCCATACAATGAAGGCTAGTCCCCGCCCCCACAAATGATGTCCCCCTCAAACTTTTTGAGATTTTAAAATGTTCTCTATGTCTGTTGTAATGATAATTGCCAAATTCTACACTAGCATTTCCAGAGTAAACACATTTAAAACACATGATCCAAAATTCTGAAAGAACTGTGAAGAGTAATTCATTAGATGGAAGATAAAAGCATCATCTATATTCTACTGCAATGTAACTACGTGGGGCTGCCCTTAAAGATCACTCAAATTGCAGCTAATTTAAAATGGACCAGCATGGGTAATAATGAGTATGCCACAGAAAGCTCATGTTTCTGCTTCATAGGTTGCCCTGGTTGCCAATCTCCTTCTGGGTACAATTCCAGATGTTAACTATCTGGAAGAGCACCTTTAAAGTCATTCAGTGCATAGGCCCTGGCTATCTGAGGGACCATCTGTCTCCTGGGGCCTATCCTGGTCATGATTGTCAGTTTGCTCCAGGTTCTCTCGATCAAATAGTGTCATTTAATGGGACTCAGGAAACAGGCCTTCTCTAATGCAGCACTTGCTCCCTGAAAGTGTACACCCTCTTTTCCACCTTTGTTGAAATGCTTGTTTAAAATGTGGATTTTCCCTCAGGCTTTGGGCTAGGGTGGGTGTTATAGACATATGTATATTTCATTGCTATGTCCACACATCATGGATCTTTATTATATTGCTTTTTCTTTTTTCTTTTTAGGGTTGTAAACTGCTTATAGTTGTTATATAGTTGGGTATACATGTGAATTATAATCATAATTTATAGTTTCATAGTCAAATTAGATGAGAATGAATTATATTCTAAGCAATCTAAACTATAATTCCATTTTTTTTCTGCAAGGTGTAACTTCCAGGTGAGCATTGGATGACTATTTTCTCCCAGCAAGAACTGCATTTCCAAAAGAATGGGCAGGATCATGTTAATACAATGATTCATTTAGCCATGATTTTTGAAAATACACTTTTTATTTTGCCCTTTGAATTTTCTCACATTGGAGATCAATTATGCCATTTTAAACATCTCTGTTTTCCAATAGGTCACATATTTTAATTCATGTTAGTTCCTATCAGGACATATAAATGATAGAATGGGGATAATATTTGAACATAGTTCAATTGCTGAATAACAAGCCAACAACTGCAGTTTTCTTAACATGATGCATTCTGAAATCCTAATATATATTCATGCAGTATTTCTCTCTACCATTCTTTATAAATCTTGAAATTTCATTATATGCTTTCACCATGTACTCACTGCTATTTCTGTCACACTGCCCACTCACCCAAT